TTTTGACAAAGTGTTTACGAAGAAGTTTTGACAAAGTGTTTACGATGAAGTCATGACAAAACATTTACGAAGAAGTCATAACAAAACATTTACGAAGAAGTTTCGACAAAACATTTACGATGAAATCATAACAAAACATATACGATGAAACCTTGACAAAACATTTACGATGAAATCATGACAAAACATTTACGATGAAGTTTTGACAAAGCATATACGATGAAATCATGACAAAACATTTACGTTTAAGTTCGACAAAGCATATACGAAGAAGTCATGACAAAACGTTTACGATGAAGTCATGACAAAACATTTACGATGAAGTTCGACAAAGTGTTTACGATGAAATCATGACAAAACATATACGTTTAAGTTCGATGAAGTCATGACAAAACATTTACGTTTAGTTTACGAAGAAGTTTCGACAAAACATATACGATGAAGTTTTGACAAAACATATACGATGAAATCATAACAAAACATTTACGTTTAGTTTACGAAGAAGTCATGACAAAGTGTTTACGAAGAAATACCTGTAAATGAAGCTTTATAAAGTATGATTGGAATTTATTTTTGCATTAATCCTGCTGTGTTGTCAAAATGTCATGTTGTCAGTAATTTTAAGAGAAGTTAAATAACCTGGTAGCACATGGTAACATGGTAACACTGAAAACATCTACCTAAACATTATTTTTGGTGTAAATTCACGAGAAAGCTAAAGCAATCTGAGCCGCTAAGCGGCGAGGGTGAAAAAAGAGGTGAAAAAACGGGTGAGATCTCACCTCTTCACCTAAACATTATTTTTGGTGAATTCAATAAAAATAAATGGTTCATTTACTCACAATATTTTTGTACAAAACGACTCCAAACTTTTAACTTCTTTTCTGCAGCTTCTAATGCTATCTTAGCGAGTTCATATTCTCTAAATTCTCTCTTTAAATCTTCTATGCAGTTTCGAACAGAATGATTAAATGCTATTCCTGCAATGATTATGATATTGACATAATGACTTCTATGGATGATTCAAAGCGTTCTTTAGTGGTTATGGCTGATTCAAGAGTTCGCAAGAATGCAACAGAACCAATCAATACATACTCATTCATTCGTGGAAGTTATGACTCGACCATAACCAGAACAGTGAATGATATATTAAATGATTTGAATATTAAGGTAAAAGTTGAACAGAAGAACGAAGAAATAAAGAATATCATGAATGAAAACAAAGATGTAAACATTGACGATAAACTAGCTCAAAGCATAGTCGATGGTATTAGTGATTTTGAAGTACATAATGACGGTGGAAACATGAATTTAGAAAAAGAAATAACATTATTCACACTGTTTCAAGCTATTAATTCGTTACCTAATCATTTGATTAATGAAGCATACGATAACGTTTATAACTTCTGCAATTTAACTGAAAATGCAAAAAGTAATTTTGAAAAAGCACGTAGTAGATATGCACATTTAATGACTTCTCCATTTGTTTTGGTGAAGATTCTAAAACTATATCAAAAGGAATATTATGATGAATACGTTTTACCTTTATTACGTAAGCCAAAAATAACATTTGATATCAAACTTGATGACTCGTTTTTGATAACAGATATTAGACGCAAGGCTGAAAATCATCAGTATAAAAACAGTTCTGAAGTAATTGAGGATTTATCACGTGTAATCCGTTTTGTAGATTGTGGAAATAAATATTTCATTCAAAAGGACTATAATATCCACGACAAAATGAATCAAATATCATTCGTTCTTCAATCAAACATGAAAGAGTCACTTAAAATGATTAAATTATTTAAAGAAGAAGGTAAAACCATAACAGCATGGGATGTACTACTAAATCAATTGTCTTCATTAACTGTTAAGGGTGTTTGCTTTAAATCTGATTCTCCAGATGTTTTCTCAACGTTTCAAGGTTATAAATACAACGTTCTCGAAAAGCCTGATTACTCAAAAATTGAAATGTTTATGAATTTCATTAAAGAAGCCATATGTGATAATAACGATGAAGTGTATAAATACCTTCTCGGCTGGATTGCATCAATGATTCAACATCCTGGAATCAAGAATGAAACAGCAATTATTTTGAAAGGACTTCAGGGAACAGGTAAAAACAGATTTACAGACATTATTTCTGAACTTCTCGCTGGTTATTCATGTAAAAACATTACCGAAATAGGTGAGCTAACGGGTAATTTCAATTCAGTAGTTGAGAATAAAATGTTTCTTGTACTTAATGAACTCAAGAATGTAGGTGAAGATAGACTCGCAAACTTCAACGCTTTGAAATCAATTATTACGGATAATGAGATTAGAATTAATGAAAAGAATCAACCCAGAAGAACTGCTCAGAACGTTGCCAATTTCATTTTGGTAACTAATAACGTCTACCCTGTCAAAATTGAAGTTGGAGACAGAAGATATGTAGTTTTAAGAGTTAATGGTAAATTCAAGGGTCAATTTGATTACTTCAAGAATTTGATGAATTTATGCACTAAGGAATTTTATGATAATTTACTGACGTATTTTATCAATTACGACCTTTCATCATTTAATGTACGAATCATTCCGATGACTGAAGCCAAACAAGATTTAATTGAATTATCAACAAATCCTTTAGATGTATGGATAAATACACATTATGATGAATTGTGTGCAGGTATGACATGTAAAAATGCTCTATTCTGCAAACCATCAGACATGAAAGACAAGAATTTCCAAATGAGTATTAAGGATAAATGTGATAGGAAACATAGAAGAATAGACGGTAAACAAACATGGTGTTATGTTTTGAAAGAAGAAATGAAAGGATTATATAAACAGGTTGAACCAAACGATAATGAGGATTCATTTACTGACGAAGAAATACCTGTAAATGAAGCTTTATAAAGTATGATTGGAATTTATTTTTGCATTAATCCTGCTGTGTTGTCAAAATGTCATGTTGTCATCATTTTTAAGAGAAGTTAAATAACCTGGTAGCACATGCTAACATGGTAACACCATCAGTTATTCAAAAATAATTCATAAATGCCTTCCTCCTTTCGTACCTGTTGTCAAAATGTCATGTTGTCATCATTTTTAAAAGAAGTTAATTAACCTGGTAGCACATGGTAACATGGTAACACATGGTGACATAGTGACATGGTGACATGGTGACACTGAAAACATTTACGTTTAGTTTACGATGAAGTCATAACAAAACATTTACGTTTAAGTTCGATGAAGTCATAACAAAACATTATTTTTGGTGTAAATTCACGAGGGTAGGAAAGAGGGTAGTTATCGGGTTAGATCTACCCTTCTACCCTAAACATTATTTTTGGGTCATTTACACTCATTACGATGAAGTCATGACAAAACATTTACGTTTAGTTTCGATGAAGTCATAACAAAGCATATACGATGAAGTTCGATGAAGTCATGACAAAACATATACGTTTAAGTTCGATGAAGCATATACGAAGAAGTCATGACAAAACATTTACGTTTAGTTTCGATGAAGTCATAACAAAACATTTACGTTTAGTTTCGATGAAGTTTTGACAAAACATTTACGAAGAAGTCATGACAAAACATTTACGATGAAGTTAGTACTTGTTGTTAGCGTTGGAGTTTGTGTTTGTTGTTAGTGTTTGTCATTTGTGCTGAAGTTAGTACTTGATGTTAGTGTTGGAGTTTGTGTTTGTTGTTAGTGAGAGAATAAATTAAATCATGAACTTTGCCATGGTCTCTGTCCCTAGTAGTTTTCATTAAGTTCTGGAAATAATGGAAGTACAAACTCCTGTTCAAAAGTCAACTCCTAAACCGACTCCAACATTTAAACCAGAACCTACTCCTCAAATAAATCGTAAAACTCCTGCGTTTCCTTACTGAAAAATAACGTTATTTTTATTTAATATTAAAATTTTTATTTGATTGAAATGACGACTAAAGTCACTGAAGCAACAAAACAAAAGTTTTTGGTAGAATACATTAAATCAGGAACTATTCCAGAAGGTTTTTACATTCATACTATGAAGGATGGTAGAGTTCAGTTTAGAAAGATAAAGCAACCATTAGATAAAGAAGGAATTTTGAGAAAGATTAAACTTCATGAGGACAACATTGCTGAACTTAAGAAGAAGTTAGAAGAGTTGGAGAAAGGAAGAGAGTTATAAAGCAATGAATTCAACAGGGTGAAAAAACAGTGAGAAAACAGGTGAGATCTCACCACTTCACCTAAATTTATTTTTGTGCTATGTTTTCATACGTGTGGGAGTGGTGATATCATTAATTTTTAAGTTTATTTTTAAAATTATTTTTATTTTATTTTTATATAAATGACGAAAACTATTGAGATAACAAACTACAACGGTCATGAGTTCAAGAATTTGTTCTTCGTTCCTCGTGAAAATACATTCTATCAGATACGAGGGAGAAAGGGTAAAGTTAGTTTGAGCGTTTATGAAGGAATGAAGAATGGAAAGTTTATACAAGCATACGATACAAACGGTAAACGTGTTTCATTAGCTTTGTCAAAACTTACTAACATTTATTTTGACAGTGATTTTGACCTATATGAAGAAGAAAGTGAGTCAGAAGATTATGAGCTGTTATGTGAAGCACAGCAATGGGAGGAGTTGCAATACTTTTGTAAGTGAGAACGTTTATTTTTTCATTAGTGAGGTGAAGTGGTTGGCGGCTTTATAAATATTTAAGGTTAAGTTAGTGTTGTCGTTTGTGTTGTAAAATATACGTTAATGGTTTTGTAAAGTGTCAAAACCGCTAAGTGGTGTACTGAGGCGCGCAGTGCCTCAGTACACGACTTAGCCATACTAACTATTCATAATAAATATCATTATTTGGCTCTTTCAGACATCAGATAATTTCTAACTTCGCCCACTGCACAATTGAGTGCGGTATTTTCGCATTTGTTCCTTGCCTCTTTGTCAGCTCTGATAGAGACAAGATATTTAACTACATTTAGGTGACCATTTCGAGAAGCCAAAATGAGTGAAGTATCTCCATTTGTATTATGGGCATCTTTCTTAGCTCCAACGGAGATAAGATATTTCACAACTTCAAGATGTCCATTGTTTGAAGCCCAAATTAATGAAGTATATCCATCATCATCTTTAGCTCCTGTTCTAGCTTTATAAGAGATAAGATATTTCACAACTTCAATGTGTCCATAATATGAAGCGTGAATTAATGAGATATAAAAATTGCTCACATTTGCTCACATTTTGGCACTTTTTTTGTACGTTTGTCAAAAAATTGTGAGGAAGATCTCACAAAAATAGTCAAAATGTGAGCAAATTTTGAGAAGTGCTCACATTTTGACATACGATTATTTTCATACGTTTTTTTGATGAATTCTAATAAAACTTCATTACCACTTTCAGAACGAAGCGTAACTTTTCAGCACGTAACGCTCTATCATGTGTAGTGACATATTATTCAAAAAAACTCAGATTGCTTATCTTATAATAACAATTTCATTAGAAAAAATGCACGATTTCACGCTAAAACTTTGAAGCAATTCTTAAATTCGGATAAAAAATCGATATGTATTACACTTTAAACTTCAAAAAATGGTTCAAAATTTAGACTTAGTTTATCTTAACAATATAGCAGATTTTAAGCCGAACAAGTAGGAGTAATAGAAATAGCTCTTGAAAATAATTACAATTAGTAATATGTAAGTCAAAGTTCGAGTATTCTAATAAATAAACGTTCCGGATTTTCTTTACTACAAGAATCAATACTTAATATATAGAAGCAACAGTAAAAACTTATTAGAGATTCAAAAAGAAAGTTGACTAAAGAGAATCTTTTTATATAAGTAATTTTATTTTTTTGAAATACGAGATCGAATAAACATGTATTTTATTTTATTACTATAATAATACGTTTTTACATAGTAAGAAAGTTTAGAGACAGAAATGAAATTAAAAATTGAGAAAAAAATAAAGCTTTTCTATAAAAATTCATATTAATATATAGTATAATGATATTACAATTTATTGATAGTTGTGTTAGAAAAAAGGTACATTCACTATTTTTGACAAAATTTTAAATTTTCATGGGGTTGTAAATCTTATAATAACTAGATGAATAAGGAATAAATCCCAGTATGATGTGCATCATTATATTAAACACTATATGTAAGGCTGGTGATTCTATTAACACTTATGAAGATCTATAGTATTTGAGCAGATAAATTTGATAATTTCCAAAACTCTTATATTTCAAAATTAAAGTGTGCGAATGCATTTAAATGAGAGCAAAAAGAGATTGATGCTGTTAAAACTATGTGTTAATTTGCAATTATTTCGCATCACAAGAACTACCCAGTAAATTCGGCTATCTTTCTTTGCAATTATTCTCCATTATACATATAATATAATGGTTAGGGTTTGAAGAAAAGTTACTAGAGAATTATTGACTTTTGAAATAATGCAGAATTTTACTTGAAGAAATCATTAATTTATGAGTTCCAAATTGCTAAGCATGACGAAGGATCATTAAATTTGCTACAATTAAATACACTTATTGCAGAATTAAGATTTTTGAAATTAAAAGTTTGAAATATTGCCTTTTTGAATAAAAATTTAAATTTTATTATATAATCATGATAATATCTTATAGAAATTAAAAGAAAATATTTTAAACCATTCAAATATTTTGAATGTCTTATCAATTTAAAATATTAAAAGATAGCTTGATTTTATCATCATTAGTTGTTATCAAAGTTTTCTTCTTTTGATGAACAACAGTAAATGATTTGTTAATTACTTGTCTTCCTTTTTCGCAGCAAAATCGAAAGTTATGATGATAATCTTGCTCTCAATTTTGAAACTCTCTGATTTACAAGTAAGCATTCCTTTGGAAAAGCAGTCCTATTCTGTTTTCAAGATATTTTAAAGCCTCAATTTCATACAATGCGCAGATCTATTCGAAATTGCAAGAACTCTCAAGAAAAATGCAGCAGCAAAGAAGATTCCATAGTTTCTAGCATCAAAAATTTACAACCTTAATACAACAGTTAAAGAGAAGCTCGAAAAGAAAATATTTAACCATAAAGCTGGAAACCATTCGATATCTACTATTGGATCTAATAAAAAGTTAATTATAACATATTTAACATGCTATTTGTTGACTTTGTTCCATTATATTACCATATATACCTTTTTGAAATCTAAAATATTTTTACAATTTTAACCATGTGTTGTTGAAACCATATATCAATCTTAGCTAAAGTATAGTTTATGAGTCTGTCACCATCTAACGTATGAATTTTCAAAAATGTCAAATATGTTCATTTTTTCTGTAGATTCAGCCATAATTTCATGTTGTTATACTATTCAACTATTATTTAATATTTTTATCGATTTAAATATATGATGAGATGCTTAGTTCTCCCGGAAATCGATTTTTAATCGCAATTTTAACTTTCCAAAAAAAATTCAAAAATAAAAATCCCTCTCAATTTTCTAAGTTTTATAACTCGCCAAATCTATAGCCAAATTTTCTTGGCCCGTATAAATATTGTTTGGCACTATATAGGGATGCTATTTATCATATTTTCATCCCATTTTACTGTTATCGCCTAGTGAATGTACCTTTGTTAGAAAAAATATACAACTAAAATGTCAGTTTTAAAAAATTTAAAAATTATATTAAAACAATAGTCATTGAGGATGGTTAATTGCAAAAACTCAAGAAACTATCATTATCTCTCTTTGCTTAACACATCTACAACTGGAAACATCATTCCAAATGAAGTTCCTCAGTCTCGTCAAAATTTCTCTCTCATCTACAACAAGCTTAACTCAAAACTCAAGAAACTATCATTATCTCTCTTTGCTTAACACATCTACAACTGGAAACATCATTCCAAATGTTGCATTCAAGAATCCTATTATTATTCTTTCTTTCAATCTTTTATATTTACTCTTTAAATTCTAATATAATATAAATTCTTCATTTCCTTTGTTTAAACTTTTTTCATTTTAATACCATTTTATCAGATAGTAATTTTTGTTTTTCTCTGACCAAAAATCTTCTCAATTTAACTCCACCTTCACAAAAATTCATTGAGTTCTCTCAAAATTCTTGTATTTTTGGTATACTTAAAGTATCATCTTCAAATATTTTTTTGGAGAAAATTGACTTTGCATAATATCGTAATACTTTTTAAGGCAGATAGATTTACCGTAAGTTGAAGAACTTTTAATTTGAACAGAAATTATTCAACAAATATTCTTTTTATTTGATCAAGATACGTATACCAATATGATCTACTTGCTAGGGATATGTAGATCACGTTCAGAATTTGCCAAGTTTGGTGAATATCTATGGGATTAGGGACATCTATTTAATTTAAGAACTAAAAATTAGCATAGGCGTATTATGCTGTTACTGAAATATATTTTGGATGTATAAATTTTTACTTAATACTCTTTTATTGTTATCATTTTTAAAGATTTTTTATTATGAGCAAAAAAATGGCAAGACAATAATATATTGTACATGCAATTTATTATTACTGAATAAATTTATCAATCAAATTTGATCACATACAATTTTTACAGATAAATACATTATCTCAAAAAATATCTATATATTAGTATATGTTACACGAAATGTAATAAAATGTATTACTTTGGTTTATCAATTTATAAATAAGAATGAAAATTTGTTATAGCTTTGTTCCAATATTTATTTTTATATATTTAAGTTATCCATTTTACTGTTTTCATTCATATTTATAACAAAATTAGAGTCCTTACATTATTTATCTTATTTCAATAGTGATAAAAATCAACTATATTTTGTAAGATCTTAAAAAGTGACAAAAATGGAAAACTACATTAAATTTATTTATAAGGATACAAAATTATATGTCATTCCACCAAGAGCGGTTAAAGCATTAACACTTTATTTATATATATCTCACAAGCTAAGTTTACCTCTAAACACATTCGAATTAACAACAAATAACTACATCATACTGGGATTTATTCCTTATTCATCTAGTTATTATAAGATTTACAACCCCATGAAAATTTAAAATTTTGTCAAAAATAGTGAATGTACCTTTTTTCTAACACAACTATCAATAAATTGTAATATCATTATACTATATATTAATATGAATTTTTATAGAAAAGCTTTATTTTTTTCTCAATTTTTAATTTCATTTCAGTCTCTAAACTTTCTTACTATGTAAAAACGTATTATTATAGTAATAAAATAAAATACATGTTTATTCGATCTCGTATTTCAAAAAAATAAAATTACTTATATAAAAAGATTCTCTTTAGTCAACTTTCTTTTTGAATCTCTAATAAGTTTTTACTGTTGCTTCTATATATTAAGTATTGATTCTTGTAGTAAAGAAAATCCGGAACGTTTATTTATTAGAATACTCGAACTTTGACTTACATATTACTAATTGTAATTATTTTCAAGAGCTATTTCTATTACTCCTACTTGTTCGGCTTAAAATCTGCTATATTGTTAAGATAAACTAAGTCTAAATTTTGAACCATTTTTTGAAGTTTAAAGTGTAATACATATCGATTTTTTATCCGAATTTAAGAATTGCTTCAAAGTTTTAGCGTGAAATCGTGCATTTTTTCTAATGAAATTGTTATTATAAGATAAGCAATCTGAGTTTTTTTGAATAATATGTCACTACACATGATAGAGCGTTACGTGCTGAAAAGTTACGCTTCGTTCTGAAAGTGGTAATGAAGTTTTATTAGAATTCATCAAAAAAACGTATGAAAATAATCGTATGTCAAAATGTGAGCACTTCTCAAAATTTGCTCACATTTTGACTATTTTTGTGAGATCTTCCTCACAATTTTTTGACAAACGTACAAAAAAAGTGCCAAAATGTGAGCAAATGTGAGCAATTTTTATATCTCGAATTAATGGAGTCCATCTATCATTATCTCTAGCTTCTATATTAGCGCCAGCAGCAATAAGGCATTTAACACTTTCAAGATTGCCTTTGTTAGATGCCAAAATGAGTGGAGTGTATCCATCATTATTCTTAACTTCTACATTTGCTTTCACTGAAACAAGATATTTAACTATTTCAGGGTGATTTTCGTTAATTGCATGAAGAAGAGGAGTGACTCCATCA